ATTGCACTATCATTATCATTATAAACGTTACCATCATCATCATTCAGCAGTACCCATCTCCTCCTCCTCCTCCTCCTCCTTTTTATTTTCATCACCATCATCATCATCATCATCATTATCACTTTCATTATCCATAACATGTTCTATTCCTTTGCCTCATTGTTTCAATATCATGTACATTTTCATTTTTATTTGTCACATAAATTGTGCATAATCTTCAAGGAAATAATACCCCTCTCCCCTCACCCCCTCACCCCCTCCCCCCCCCCCCCCCCCCCCCCAGAAGAAAAATATAGCCGATATTTTGAAGGTGTTTATTGGGTATTGTGTACATGTATATATTTCCTATTAATAGGAAGAAAAATGATAAGAAAAATGATATCGTAAATCAGTGAGGCACTCACCTTAATTATCACTTTGGTTTTCGCAAGCTGTAAAATAACGATTTCTGCAATAAAAGTCAAAACTTCGACGTTATTGAAGAATTTCGATAGATTGCTAACTGTACGTGTTCGCGAGCATGCCGTTTCAGCAAGTTGTGAAGCCGGTTGCTAAGTATGCCTCGCAACAAGCAGAACTGCGGGCTTGACCGTGACGTAACAAAAACTTTGGGCCAATAAGCGTGCGCCTACGCTTTAAGTAATGCATATTCATGATTAACGCGCTTACGACATGATATAAAAGGATGCGTTTGACGTGACGTAACAATAAACTTTTGGCCAATAATATGGGCGCGTCTCTGCTTTGAGTCATGCATATTCATTTTTTACGCGCCTACGACACAATGAAAATAAAAGGCGATTGACTTCTCATAAAAATCTGCTCGCGCATGGGCAGGTGCCTTGAAAAGCTCCTTGTGTTGCTAAAAAAAAAAAAAATTATTGTCATATATTGATGAAACGTCTGAATTTTGTGTATAGCTTGTTGCATTAAACTACACACTGATGAAAATGAAACAAGTTTTTGCAGACCTATTTTTTTGCGGATCCAGGGGTCATGGGGTCGTGTGTGACAAACCCGATTAGGGCCCTGATAATAACAAATGCCAAATGTCTATCAGAAATTTGTTCTAAGCCAACCAAATGCCACGGTTTATGTATCTTATAACAGTTATTGTAACTTGTCATTGATAACAAATTTCATGAAACAGGGCCCGAACAGTTACAAATGAAGTACATATTGATATTATTATACGAAATACTCATGCCATGTTACTGATGAAGTTGGAAACAAGGTTTACAACAAAAAGTCTTATAATACTTTAAATATCACAAAGTATGAATTTTCTATGTAGGAAGCATACAAAATATAATTCATCTGTTAATAATTTGTTGACCACCATGTTCCCCTTCCATTTCGTAGATAAAAGTTTATGATTTAAAACCCCGATCTTCTCGATCGTATCGTAAATATTTAATAATATCGTAGTTGTTTATGTTCAAGTAAACAAAAGAGGGGATGTTTTAAATATCCCGTTTTATCATTATTAAATTGAATTTAAGTCATTTTACTTCTGCAAGATAACATTTCAGCGATACAACATATACCAAATATAACTTTCTTTGAGTAACTTTTACGCAATAATATAATAATGATAATAGAAATGTTGACATTTAAACAAAAATAACAGATAACACACTAACAAGAATTATTATCATATCATTATATTATGAACAAAACACACTAAAAAAGAATTTCGGAAACTCATAATAATTATGTCGTTTGAGCCTGCGGATCAGCATGGATGTTTTGACGAACAAACTTTAGGTTTAATAACTCTCTTGTTGACCCGCCCCCCCCCCCCACTCAGTGTTATTTAGGGTACGCATATGCTCGTACCCTATTTTTGAAAGCACCCCCTATCTGAGGAGTGCCAACATTTCCGAACCCCCCTTTCGCGGGCTTTTCGCGGGCTTTTCCTGCCTTGGAGACCCCCCTAAATCAGGAAAAATGCTCATTTTACCCCCTAAATTCGGAATAATTTCTCAGGTGTCCAAAGAGATGAGAGAAAAAAAGAAAAACACCCCCTTTTTAAAGAAATCTCCGGGTGAAAAGTCAAATACACCCCTTTTTTTACAATTCTCGGGCCGGACTTTGTCGCATGAAAAGTACCCCTTTACCGGACATTTTGGCAACACGCATGCGGTCATTCCGACCTTTGAGTGGGGGGGGGGGGGGGGCCGGGCTTGTTGATAACAATTTCATACGGAAACAGCCTTCTTCCTATAGCCATTTTAGGGATGTCGTTGGTGAGACTCTGTGACTCCTTTCCAGGGACCTTGATGAAAGAGTAATTCTGCAGGAACCAGGTGAAGAGGAGGAAAAGATCTGCCTTAGGTACTGGCTTCACCGGGACAGCTACGGCGACCCGCTCCAAAAGGAAGAAAGCTGGAAGGGTGATTACGGACGGTCCCACTTTCACCTACGAAATTCTTTTGGAGAATAATATGCCAGGTAAGTAATGAGCAAGAAGCCTTTAAAAAAATCCATTGGCATGTCAGGGGAGAACAGTTCCGGAAAATACGAAGAAACAAGCATAATTGACTTTTCTCTTGCTTGTACATTGTGTCCCAGAAAGAAAAAAAACTGAGAATTATCGATGTTTTTTCATAACTTAATCACAATTATTATTAATAAATGACACATAATATTTGTAGAGCGCAGATCCTCCTCTTTCATTTGAGGCAACTCATAATGATGCATATTTCACGCATGAGTGATTAAAAACAATTTAAGGAGAGGAAACCAAAAAGACATTTGACGGGCGGTATCTGAATTTCAAAGAGAAAAATCACATTTCCAGAAAGTTTAATTTCTGCCCTTTCATATAACACCTCAATCAGGAAACATAAACCAGGAATAACAAAGTTCTGTTTGTTTAAAGTAATGCTTGAATTCAATAATTTTATTTAATTGAATTCGTTTTCAATTTCTGCCTGCCGTAGCAACAAACAGAGTTGACAAAAGACTTAACTCCGTTTAGCTGACGATGAGCCATGCAAAAATAAGATGAAAGACTGGCATGGCTGATCGTCAACGAAACGGAGTTAAGTCTTTTGCAAAGAGCAGCAACTACCAGATCACAAAATAAATTGGATATTCGAAGTTTTGCTCGAGGTATTTAGGATTAGATCTTTCGGTTAATTTACTAGAAATGGTCGATAGTGATTATTGTGAAAGGAAAAAATAAAGAAATAAAACTCCAAATAATTGGGCGGCTGAATTCAGCGTTGATGAAATTCGGGAATCGCGCCATCTTCGGCTTAGCCAGGTAATACAGATCGCTGTACCGTGGGGAAAAATACGAATAAAGTCTTTGTAGATGACTTGTATACTAAAAAAAATGATCAAGTTGACAAGAACTCAATGAAGTAATCACAACAAAGGGATTAAATATTACAAGTTTGGATTGTCATCAATATGTAATTAATCACTTATATCACGACAGAAATAGATTACAAGTCATACGAAATACTCTCAATTGTTACTCAAGCTGCCCCCTTCCTCCCCCCCCCCCCCGCCTCTCTCTCTCTCTCTCTCTCTCTTTCTTTCTTTCTTTCTCTCTCCCTCTCTCTCCCTCTCTCTCTCTCTCTCTCTCTCTCTCTCTCTCTCTCTCTCTCCTCTCTCTCTCTCCTTGCTCCCCCATGTACTCCTTCTCCCCTCCCTCATTGCATCGGGAGCTGCATGTGGGGAGATCGAGTCAGGCAAGACATCTTGTCATAATAGCCGTGGATTGTTCAGCGTGGTTAAAATTGCTTTAAAAGTAATAACTGCAATATCCTACATGAATAAGAGAAATTTTCAAGAAACTTTCAAATTGCACTAATTTTAAATGTATAGAAAGGATAATGCCACAATTAAGTTTCCTACAAGGTCTAAAGGACTGTAATAAATTATTCACTGGAAACGGGGTAAAGGATCTCCTGGGTGCCTTTGCAGTCCCTATGTGAACTTATTGGCATTTAAAGATGCTTAATTTGAACGTTGGAGTAAAGGGGTGCTTTAAAAAGGAGCCATTATTCGAATGAATCTCCAAAAAGAAAGAGTTATAGTACCGGGGGCACACTTTTAAGAAATTATGAATGAACGGAAAGGGTTTTAAATTATTTTAAAAATACTTCCACCCCCCTGTCCTCCTGGCCCTGTAACTTTTAAATGAAAATTAGCTTCCTGCATGAGTTCAACTGAGTAAAATACCTAGCGTAAAGGCACTTTAGATGTTTACATGAGGGGTGAAAAGAAGTGTGAACATTTTTGCAGTAAAGGAGGTTGTATGCTCAAAGGGGTCGATCACTTGAGGGACATTTCTAGTGGGTACCATATTAGGTGCATTTGGTATAAAGCATTGGAATAGTCAATGGAGCACAATGCTCTGAAATATAAGAAAGGGCCACACAGTGATTTAATTGTGCCCCTCCTTTCACTGGCTCCTATCTCCAACATGTCACAGTTTTCCGGAGACCCCATCAAGCCTACGACAGAAGACCGATCGGATATTCGGAGCTAAATTGGTGTTCGACGGGCTCGGCCACCCCTGACAAAAAACAAGTAGAAAAAAAAGTATTTATTTTGTTTTTGCTCAAGGAGGGTGGGGTGAATGAAGACAGAAACAAGGAGTGCACCCCCCCCCCCCCCCCATGGTCTCCTTTGTCTTATGATAATTGAGAGCTAATTTGTCGGATAACCACCTGCCCATCAGTGACCACGCAGGGAGGTCTTATTCCTCCTGGCTAAACTAGTGCAGAAAGGCTTTAAAGCTCGAGACCGACAATTGCAAAGAAAGAAAATGAATAAAAGTAAATTGAAGTTACTTTCTTTCTCGTATAATTTTATCCGGTCGACAGGCTTCAAACAGCACATAAAAGTTTCACGAGCCACGTCCGGTCTGGTCCGAGGATATCCGGGTTTACGGGTATCCTTTCATCCGAATGAATAGAAGCCACTGCGCTATGCTAGCGCTCTCTGATGCGCATGCACGGTACACAGCGCGCTATGCTAGCTGTAGCTAGCTGTCAGTCAAGTTTGGTGGAACGACGGCTTTCACCAGAAGAAGTCACAGTTGAGGTATGCATTTTTGTGGATTTGTCTACCTTTTTGATATCTTTGATTGCAGTTATTGAGTGGATATATTTATCAGAGTAAATTGTGGGTAATGTAAGTGGTGTGTTTGTGAAAAGAATGAGAACGAAGAAGTGAACTTCAAAGTTGAGTGTGAATTGCGGATTGGCTTTCGTGTTCTCCAGGCCAGCGCCAGGGAGAATTCCGATGCATAGTCTAGTTCAGCAGCCGCGCCGCGCCTCACCGGGCGGCGCGTTTCCGTTTTACACCCTGCCCTAGGCTTTTCGGCAAGAAATTACACGAAACATGCTGTATCCGAAGTCTAAGTTTGTTTATATCGACGTCAAGAATAGCGAAGCCAAAGCTTATGTACAATTTCGATTGGGGATGCGAGGGTCTTCTTGTTCAAGACGGTTTTCCCGATATATTATTGTTTTGTTATCGCTGGGCTAAATTTTGCGAGCTGATCACGCATCCTCACGCTCTTAGAGTATTGCGTATTAATGGATAAAAATAAATGATACGACTAGGAAGATCAACTAGTTAGTATAGAGAGTTAGCTAGCGTTACGTGACGTTTTCAGAGTTTGCAGAGCGCCGAGGCAAGATGTGGACGACTAGACTCCGAATACCAGTCGGTTTGTAAAATTTTATTGGAGAAAAGCCTAGGGCAGGGTGTAAAACGGAAACGCGCCACCGGGCGCAGGGTCGGTCGTGTAAGCATAGACTATTACGTCTATGGTGTAAGCCACGTCCACCGCACGACCATTCATGACTGAGTCATGACCCCCCGCCCTATACTAATAGTAGGAGGAGGGCTCCTGTAGATTAAATAACTTGTCTGGTGTGGGAAATTTTTTAAAAATAGAACTGACATTTGTCAGCCTTCCCCAAACTCAGGTGACAGGACGGTAACCATTGCCACATGTGTATAGCGTAGGGGGGGGGGGGGTGATCGGGAAGGGTTAACGTCTATTTAATTACTTAACGAGCACTAAGTTTAGCCAATTTGCACTGGAATTCGGCAAAAAGTTGGCGTCCAATTATGTCTTTATCAAGATCTAGATTAAACAGTTTGATTTAGAAAAAAATGATGATCTGAAAGAAAATACCGGTAGATCTGATTTCAAATACATGTAGACCTACATGTGGTCTAGACCCTTTTACTATTAAAATTACATTGGAAAATCAATCGTTAAAAACATCAGAAGATTTGGACTTTATAGTTATTATAATTTCGGCTAGCAATAATATGACCGCTTTCTTGAAGCTACTGTGCGCAATAAGATCAGCAATGACACACAAACTGCACTGTGTAACTTCCTCTCACTAACCCGTACGGCGTAGACCTACTTCAGTCTCTGTAAAGAGGTGTTCGGTGGAGCTATATATGTTCAACCTGGGCTGTAGTCTCAGCAAAACAACTGTCGATATCAGTGGCTGAAGTTAATGGTCTGGAGCTTTTTTTAATCTTCACTCTAACATACATGTACACTGTTGTACTCAACTAAGTTTCTGGGGGGGGGGGGGGTCTCGGTTCAACTCGGCCTTAGCATCACTTTCCATCTCTTCCTAAGTCACAAGTTAAGGTACATAGTACATACATGTACACTGTAAGAGAAGACCAAAACAAAAGTGACATTGATCTGTAGAGTTAGCATGCATGCCTTCTTAATTGTATATGTAGTCTAAGCCCCCCCCCCCTCCTCCCCCCCCCCCCCCCTCCTCCCCCACCCCCAAAAATTGATTCAGTAAGAAAGCAATAGATTGTTTCTCTATTGGCTGAGATGTGAGTGAAACTGCATGTACATGTAGGTATGTATACATTATACATTGTATATCCCGCCCCCCCCCCCCACTCAGTGTTATTTAGGGTATGCGTATAGATGTTCCCTCCCTTTTAATGCACCCCCCCCCCTATCTCTGGTGTGTAAAGTCAATACGGCCGGAGTTTGTTGCGTGAAAAGTACCCCTTTACCAGAGACTTTGGGAACACAAATGGGGTCCCTCCTTACCCAGATTGGGGGGGGGGGGGGACCAAGGTTTGTGGTTTCTATTTTCATTTACATGATATCCAAAGGAGAGAATGGCCTAAAATGAGATCATTAACCCCTCTATAAATAATTGATATGAATACAATTGTGAATTCAGTATACACAAGTGATATGTCTAGAACTGTACATGTATGTACAATACTACTTTTGAGATTAGCATTCAAAGTATTTGCTAAATCTATTCTACCTTCCTTCAACCTTCCATGAATATATACCCCCAAAACTTTCCTTTGCCTCAGAAAATTGCTATACAATTAATACTTACATGTAGTACACACACAACATGCGCATGTATAATGTAAAACTTACAGCTTGAAATTAAACATTTCAAAGTCATTCATGACAGAATTTATTCTTGTATCTTTTCTAGCTCGTTTGTTGTTTAAAACTTTCTGTTTGCTCTAACGTAAACCAGGCGTATTTTCAAAACCATTACCTTTGAAACAGGACCTTCCCTGCACTTGCTGATTACTCAATTAGCAAGACAGGGAAATGACTCACTTTTGTCGCCACCATAATATGTGTAGTCTGTAGACTAGTAGTTAGTACTGCATCTGAAATAAAGCATGTTTATTTGTTTATTGTTACATGTACAGGTACGTGTACATTTGAAATTCATAAACATGCAGTGTACATTGTTAATCAAGTATTTGTCGACAATATGAAACATTCAATTTATTAAAAATGGAGAATCTACTTTTGTAATGTACATTTTCATTTAGCAGCATATTTCTACATCGTAGCAGTATAGGTTGCCCATTCTTTAAATTATACAAATACAGTGTGCTTGCTTTTTAGTTGCTTATTAAACATTGGCATAACCTTTGCCCTCACTGTAAAAGTCATACTGCTAGTTCAAGTTTGAACATGTATAACTGTGACTGTACATGTACATGTATATCGTGTTGCCCGAGTAGAAATCGTTGTATCCGTTTAATGAACCTGCCAGTTTGTGAATGTGTCACTTCAGATTAGTCAGTGTTTCCTTTTGGAGATTAACGCTGCATCTTTCGTTTCCAAAACATCCAGAAACATAGCAGGCAATATTTTGTCTAGGTACACTAATGTAATGTCTGAAGGTGTAACTATTTCATGTGGTAAGGAAAGTATACCAGTAGTACTACATGTACATGTACAGTAGAAGACATCCTACAGAGCAATTGCACTATAGAAAGTACTTGTTTGTTAACTGGAGCTTCAGTTAAATTTCTGTTTTTTTTTTCATGCCTTTATAAATCAGTGAGATTTCCCCTTACTGTAAAAAGTATTGTTGTTTGTTTTCTCTTCAATTATTTTTAAAATTTTATTTAATTTTTTTTCTTCTTTTGTTCTTGTTTCGTTTTTTACCAAATTGGTTCTTTGTTTTTGTTTTTCTGTGGAGCTCTTATGGAGCCTTCCACGTGACCTTACAGTATCTACTGTAAATCACTGACCAATTCCAGTATTTTCCTGTAAAGTCAGACTGATTAATTGTAGGCGACAGGTACCATACAATGTATCTTGTGCATCATGGCAAGCACTTCTTTGAAATTTGTGCAGTGTTTATATTTCTTCGTACATGGACATCAGCCAGGGTATCTGCTTCCTACTATTTGTTAAATTTGTTGTTGTGAATGCACAGACGCATACAGTACATGCATGTAGGTTACTGTACACAGTACATATATATATTAAAAATTGGTAGAAAACTAGAAATACGTTTCTCCAGAGAATGTCTTTGATCTTTTTTAAATGTATAGTTGTTTAATTTATTTTGTTATACCCAGTAGTACATGTACTTACTTAAAATCAAAATCAAATTCAATTTTGATAACAAATACTCTAGAAAAAAGCAGACAAATCGGAGAAGCAGAGTGGCAAAGTAGTGAAAGTTTGGATGAAATCAGACAAAAAATTACAAAGTTAAAAATTTTAAAAAGTTGTAACTATATGTACACTTTAGGTGTTGGCTTTTCAAATTGACTGAATGGGTAATGTGTCTTTGATACTGTACATGTATAAGAGGCAGACAAGTTTCCTCTTTGTGCCAACACACAAAACTACTAAATTACATTTTCTCAAAATGTATGAAATGAATCAGGAGGATCTTTTTGTTTAGAGGACTTATAAGGATGTGCCCCAGGGGAGAAGGCACTTAGGAGAACAAATGCAACTTAATGATGTGTTTGTACACAACAAACAGGAGAGACTGCATGTACATGTGCGTGACTTACAATGTATATAATCCAGTAACCGAATTGCCCAATTGAGATTCGCATAGATTTACATGTACATGTACAGCTCTCATATTTCAAACATTCATATCTTTCTTAAATAATTATCAGTCCGATTTATTTTAAACTTTCCCAATTCTGTTTCTCTTATTTTTCTGCTTTCCTACAAATGAAATTATTACAAATGCACTTTTGTTATTTTCAGGGCTCGTTAAATGCTCCCCAGAGCTACACTGTACACCATGTCAATCACATCATACCTACAAAAATGTACATGTACGTGATAAATTTTGTCACATGAAGTCTGTATTCCTTTGAAGTTTTTCCTTGTGTGAATGAATCAGAGGTTCCTATATGTAGTTTTGTCAGTACTTGCACAGTACAGGATAAAACATACCTGGGGCTGGACCACTGGTGTAATTTAAATGTATTGGTAGCTTATTGTATGTAGGTCAGCTTAATCCACATATATTGGACTATTTAATGGGTTGGATAGGACACTTTCCTCATCTGATTTGTAAAAGCAATTCGGTGATGTCATCGTATATATACGTACGTTGGTCTTATCATGGCCAAAAATAGATGCAGTAGGCATTTACTGCTTACCTTACGTTGCAAATGGTCCAATATATGGCATTCCATGACTAGACTTGAGTCTGCATAACAAACAAAGAGAAATCTACATATAAATATTTGATCAAGCCATCAAGGTTCTGGGACAAACCTTCATGAATGTTGGA